GGCGCTGCCCGCAGCGGGGACAGGGTGTGACAGGGCTAGGCAAGTCCCGAGATGTGACCAGGGATGACATGTTCTGTGATGTGACCCAGGCTGGTGTGTACTGTGACGTGGTTGAGAGCAGCAACTGCCCAGGGGCAGGGCTGGGCCCAGGACCGGGCAAGGGCGATACCTGCGTCACAGGGGTGTCACCTCAGTCTGTCGGCCCCAGCGGGCATGCGGGTGCAGCCTGGGCACTGCCCTTTCCACAGGAGCTCCTGGGCACCATGGGGCACTGCTGCAAGGCAGCATGCGGGCAGGCGACATCAGCCCCGGCTGCCTGGAGATGTCCCCGGCTGGGGGACAAACCTGTAACACCAGGAATTAATATGCACAAATAATTCGTAAGGAGACTTATACCATGAGGGAGGTGATTCAAACCCACAGAGGGTCTGGGCAGGGAGAAATGCACCCAGGCGAGCGCTGGCCTGTGGGCACAATGCTGCTTAGACCAGCCATAGCCGCTGTGGCCCCACCTTGCCTTCTGAAATGATTAGGCAGTGCCCTTTCTTAAGATTGTGGAAGGACTATAAAACCAGCACCTTTAGGGGTTCCCTCTGCCTCCTGCTTTTTGAGGTTTCCTCCCCAGTCAGATGGACTGAAAGTGTATCTCCAAACAAAACCCCAGCCGCTCACAGATGAGCCTGACCCTGGCAGCCAGACCCCCAACAGCAGTTCCACACAGCTCCTGAAAACCAGCAGCTTGGGAAGAGGCTGGCATTTGTGCTGGAGCACTACCCTGTGCCGGGAGCATCCCAGTGCTTCAGAGGGGATTTCCTCAAACTTCTACGTTCCTGTTCTAGAGGCAGATATGGGAGATGCTGATGTGGGATTCTGATGCATAGTGAGGGAGCTGGGATGCATCCTGCCCATGTAATGCCACATTCTGAGGCTGGCCAGTGCTCCCTGAGGCTGGGGAGGTCTTCAGAAAGGATGCCCCAAACTGGGACTGACCCTGTAGACCTGCAATGTCATGGCCACCAGCAGCAGCAGCAGGGAGGCTGCAGGCAGCAGCGGTCACCCGGGTTCACTCTCGCTGCAGCACTCGCTGCCGCCTGCCAAGAGAGCAGCACAGGGGAGACAGTGGATAATGTGCTGTATTGTGCTCTCCCAGCACCTTTTTCTCTTCCACAATCTAACCATTGTGCGCGTTTTATCGCGATTAAACTCCAGATGAACATCAAAGGGAAAGAAGTTCATCAAAACAGGAATGAAACAAAAGGCTTTTAAAGGGCGATTATTGTGCACCAAGCAATGCTTTTCAAAGGCAGAAAAGTTCACGTTAAATATAGACTACCTTACTGGCACTGCTGCAATGGCAAGGGCACCCAGGCGCCCTCAGCGCCATCCGGCAGCTGTACTTGTCGCTGGAGCTATTACAGCAAATCCCTCTCCGTTTCGAGGCTCTATCATGCGTGGGTGCTGGAGCTGGCTGGGGCTACCGGTGTGCGGGGAGCAGGCAGCAGCGGCCTGGGAAAGCGCATGCTTTATTCATACAAGTGAGTGGCGCTTTTCTGCTCAAAATATAAATAGTGAATGTTGTTTTCTAATGAAGTGCTCGCTAATGACGGTTGGGAAACTTTGCTTTTCCCCAGGTATAAACACTGGGAACTCAAATAACTAGTAATAGTTTTGCAATTTACAATCATGTTTATAAGCTATAAGCTGTGTAAAATGTACTGGCCGCTAGAGAATTTTAAAATCCGGTCGCAGCTCATGCACAAACTCTTTTTTTTTACTAAAAAGCGAAAAAAAGAACGAGTGGGAGATGGGGTGAGGAAGGGCTTGGTTATATGACTGGCGTTTCTTGCCCAGGGAGGCCAGAGCGGGTCTCCTTTGGAAGAAGTCCGTTATCTGAGGTCACATCCCAAGAACGAGCCTGAGATCTGATCCAAAGTCCCTGGCATCAGAGACAAAAACTAGTTGGTGATTTCACTAGACTTTTAAACTCACAAATAAATATTTATTACTTACTTGATTACTTGCTTCTTTCCCTTAAACTGGAGGATTTTTTTGTGAAGACAAGTTGACGTCTTCCCATTCCCCATTCTAGTAATTGCTCCAGCGAGAGAAAGCACAATAAAGTGGAGCAGAAGGTGAAAAATGTTTCTGCCCTCAGTGAAGGGGATGAATAAAACTCATAGGCTCAGAGACAATAAAGGATTTTTTTTTTCTAATATCTGTGGAGAAATATCTTGTTTATGGACTTGGAGAGCTAGATTATGGGAAAAAAAAGAAAATGCCCCCTATTTACCAGCCTTGCAAAGATGGAGCATGCCAAACTCCCATAGAGGGGATGCTCATTTTGTGCCAGAGAGAGAGCATATGGCACAGAGCAATTTTCATTCTCAACTCCAGGTAAAAAGTTTGTTACCACGGCCTTACACGGGGAAGCATTTATTCACCCCAAAAGTGGGAGTCTGAGGATGATGGGCTGTAAGGTCTCTTTTGGGGAGGGGGGTACAGGCAGCTTTCCTTGTTAAACATATAAAGCAAAAGGTTTTGTAGGCAGAGCACCTGCATTTGTTTCTCTGAAACAACACCCTTATTAGTAGCCAGAAAAACTGAAGGCAACAAATGCAAATAAAAATCAGAGAGGGAAAAAAGCTTCTTAAAGTCTTGTAATATCAAAGCCAGCCATGCCCTCTCCACTAGCTTATTTTTAAAAGTGACCCATGCAGGGAATATAAGTGCCAAAGAAATCCACGAGCTGAGGGTATTACGTGGTGTGATCCAGGCAAAGAGGATATTTTTTTGTAAGTCCATATAAAGCTGAATGTGAAGATAATCCACAGCTCCAGAAAGCCTGCAGGTTGCTACAAAAACCCCAAGAAAGCCTCTGCAAGAAGGGGTAAACAATTAACACAAATTTTAAATCAATGCGCTGTCACCTTAATAGCCAGTGAAGTCAGCTAAGACGGGTGTAATATGATGAGACAGTTTAATTCTTGTTATGACATTAGCTGCAGACTTTTACAACAGCTGAAAATGCTGGAGTGAGAAGAGTTTCCAATTATCACTGAGCTACGATACACAACTCTGGATTAGACTGAGGCATGAACGAGGGCTCCTCAGCCTGACAAGCAACATGCGACAAAAGCCGCACAAGTTTTCGAAATCTGATGAAGATTTTTTCCCTTCTCTCCTCTTGCTGATACGCTGCTGCAAAGGTTTATTTCAGATAAAATAAGGCCATTTTTAAGAGCCTAGCAGTGAAACCAGCTCCCGAGCTGTGTGTGATACAGTATTATATATCATAAATCCGTACATCCAGGAGGTGAACTGAACCAATCTGAAGCGATTCTGTTTTCCCAGCATTAAGCTTCAAAAAATGAAAAGTCACCCAGGCTTGAAGCGCAGATAGACAGGTAATAAGCCATGACAGCACTTCACGGGAATCTGCAGGAATAGGCAAGTAGGTCTGGGTGTCAGCCATATAAATATGATCATCAGACCCAAAGCTCCGAATAATACCGCCAAGTGTGAGCATGTCAATATTAAAGGCAAGCGGGCTGTGAACAGGAGCCCGAGGCAGTGGTGAGTTTAGCCCATGGCCCGCCGGCTGGGGAGGCTGCACCCTTCCCCAGAGAGGGGCTAAGCCTGTCTGAAAATGCAGATCCCTGAGCTGGGAATGGGCTGTAATTCACACGCCGGCGGGAAAGCTCTCCTTCTGGGTAACGTGGAGCTGTGCTCACTGGCAAGGGATTTTTTTTTTCATGTATTGGGATGGTTTTATCCCAGTTTTATTTCATAGCTTGTTTTCAACCTCTTTGTTTTTGTAAACCCTGCAAGAACCACACTCCTCCTGGGCCCTGTGTACAGAGAAGGATTTATCACGCCAAACCACGCACCTCCTTCAGAGCTTTTGTCAGCCTCTCAGGGGCATTTGCAAGCATGGGAAGAGGCTGGGAGGTTTGAAAAGTGACTCTTTAATCCAAAGGTGGCCCATTTTGTATTGCTCATGTCACGTTGCTCTGCCTTTTTAAATATTGCTTTTGGAAAAATGGGTCACGGTTTCCTTTTCAGATCGTACAGAGAGAAATCGTTTTGTCAGGCCTCCCCCTGTACTGGGCTTCTAGGTTTCCTCCATGTTATTCCCTATAGCTGAGAATATAGGGTCTAGAATGGAAAAAAAGTAGTCTGGTAAGAAGAAAACTGGGGAAAGCCTCACCCTGAGATGGAAAAGTTCTTTGCTGAAAAATAAGTTAGAATTTGCTGAAATGCCTTTTCCACTCTTGTGGAAGCTCTGGGAGTGCTCCACATTCACTGATCATATCCCAGAAGTACCCCCCACCCCCACCGCTGGCTGGTTAAGGCCTCTGCTGAAAAAAAAAAAAGTCATGTCCCCCTAAAATGCTTTCCCCCACTCTTCTAAAAGCCCGGTGAGTGTTTGCAGAAGTCACGCCGGGTGGCCTGGAGCACAGAGAGCAGCGAGGGTCCTGCTGCCTGGGGTGCTGTGGGGTGCTGTCTGACAGCAGGCAAGGGGCGAGAGGATGTACCGGAGGGAGAAAAGCTGAAACTCCACTCAATCCCCTCAAATCCTAGCAGGGGAGACCTGTCTGAGGTCAGTCTTTGTTTTTTCTTTTTTCAGCAGTCTTTATTTGGCAACTCATTTTTAAAAAGGTTGACCCAAAAAGTCGCTGTGTCATGCAGTACCTTATTCTGCATGATAAGGTAAGATAATTTCTCATTAAAATGGTTGGCTGTTGACCTCCTCCCCTCCCCGGTGAATGAATAAACAAATAAATGCGCTTGAATATGTTCTGGAAATGCGCTCTCTGCTATTTGCAAAACAGAAAGGAAAGTTTTGGGTCTGGCATTCACTGCCCTCTCCCAGCCACTCTGGGGGCCAAGGGGCAGCTGAGGGGTGGCCGAGGGGTGGCCAAGAGGTGATCGATCAAGGGTTTGGCCAAGGGGCACCCGTTCCATTGCAGGTTCCCTGTGTCTTGCAAAACACTCCTTACCTGCTTGGCTCTGCCCTCAGCCCCTTCACATGTAGTTTCACCACCCCGGCGCAGCCCGCAGAACTCCCAGTTCAGGATGTCATTTGCTGTCTGCTCCTCTCCCAAAAATTCACCTCCAGCTTTTTTATTCCCCGATGCCAAATCCCTGGAGTGAAAAGGGACTTTCATGCCTTTATATGGAATTGCAAACCTGTATTAAGCCTCAAAAGATGTTTTTATCAAAAAATCTCGACAGCTGCCAACTTCCCTAAATCCCAAACTATCATTATGCATTTAGTCTTAGACAGGGGATTTTTCTGGATCTTCCCTCCTGACCCAATGATAAAGCCAAGTTGGTTTGAGATTGAAGATTCATTTATCTCTCCTTGGCAATTATCTCTATTACTGCCCACAATCCTTCCCAATCTTTTTAAACAACATCCTGCTATTAAAGCCACTTGGCAAGCATTTAAAGCCCTGGGATAAGTTAACCATGCACAAAATATCCCACTTGGGGAAGGATCCAGCTATAAAAATAAATGGTTTACGTTCCGAAGGGCATGGTTCAGGATGGGTATTCTTCATTTGTGAAGAGAGGTCATCATTGCTGACAATAAAATTATGTAGGACCTGATCCTCCCCCACTGAGCTCAATAGCAAAATCCCTCCTGATTTCAATGGTGTTTTCCGGGGTCAGTCGCCGGGAAAGCCGACATTCCACAAAGTTGCTGAAAATCTATAATTGGATATATTAAGAGGGCTTTCAAAGAGATGTCAGATTTGGAAGCTTAGTGTAAACCGTGCTGCAAAGGGGATCATTTCGTATAACCGAATCAATAAAGCTTTTTTTTTAACATTACTTTTCTACTTGATCTCTGATGGTGGAAAAGCTAAGCTCTAGAGACTCACCATCAGCACGGAGGAGGTGCCGGGGGCCTGGCCAGAGCATGAGCCACTGCCCGGTGGGAGAGATTCTGCCAAGTGACCTGGCGTAAGCTGCCAACGTGAGGGGTGTAATCCTGCAAACGTTTGATCCAGTGGCTTTGCTTACATTATAGAGGTAACTCGTGCGTGTAAGTACTGGAATACCGAGCCCTTATTTTCATGGGGTTGCTGGTCTCCTGTCACAACACATCTCTTTGGAAGATATGATTGAGAGTTTTGATTAATTTTGCCGTGCCTTACATGTCTATATTTAGTAAAATGAAGCTTAGTTTGTATCTTTGGAACATGATATGGATTTATCCCCCAAACACATTTTTTTAACTCACGGGCTGTACTTCAAAGAGTTCTTTAACGCCACTTTGAAAATGCTCACTGGTAGCTCTTTAGGAACTGGAAATCTTCCATTTCTGCTTACATGGTGCTTTTCTGGCTGATGAGCATCGTTTGCCCTTTGGTTCTCACGTGGAGAAAGGGCCATTTGGTGCGGAGTGGCTGTGCTGGGCAGGGCAGGCACAGGGACAGCAGCCTCGCGGCGATGGCACCGATGTGCCCGATGGGGTCCTTTGCCAGGGGACCCCAGGGCAGGGACACCGGCATGGGGTTTGCACCAGGTTGCTTCACCCTTGCAGCAGTCTGATTTATAAACATGTGCAGGTCATCTCCTCTCCAGCGTCTCCATGCCGTGTGCCCCAGTCGTGTGGGCGGGAATGGGGAGACACCTGCAGCTCCCACAGGTGACTCTGCCATTGGGACCTGCCACAGGTCCCCTCTATGTTTCAAGCAGGTCCCCTCTGCCGTTCAATCACACTTTCCCATTGTTTCTCCTTCCCTACCATGCCGGTGAAGCAGCCCTCTGTGGGGTCACAGTCGCAAAGCTTGCTCCTTGTTCCTAGAGAGCTCGGCTTCTTTTTTTTTGCCTTTCCTTTCCTTTTCAGTGAAAGCTGAAATTCAGCAGAAACTGATGAGACCACCATGGAGAAATGCTGGTTCACCGCACTGGCTAGTACCAGCTTGATCTGGCTCCAGCTCCGGGATGTGCAGCCTACAAACACAGTAATGAAAAGAAATATTCTGAAAAGGATGAGTCAGCTGGAAGCCGGTGGGGAGAGCATGCGGGATCTGACTGGAATTTAAAAAGTTATGAGGCTTCATGTTGTTTTGAGCCCTGCCAGTGGAGAAACTCATACTCCTGAAATGCTTTGTCATCTGGCATAATTATGGTGCTTTGCTGATTAGCTGGTAAACTCTTTTCAGAATGTTTTTAGACATCTGCTTTACGTTTTATTCTGCAGTGTCCTCTCCAGGACCTCGCTGGACTATTGAATAGCCATGAAATTGCTCTCTTACTACGTATTAGATGACGTATCCATTAAAACAGCTGAGGCAGCTTCACACCTTCACTTCTGTGCTGTCAGTACACCTACACTGATGGGAGCTGTGGGTACAGCCACACACTCGCAGTGCAAAATGGATTTCTGTGCTTTATTTTTGTACATTTGCACCTATCGGGACAGCAGCAGTTTGGTGTGAAGCTGCTTTGCTCACTCCTCCAGCCAGGTACCAATGCCTCCTTCCTGCCTTCACTGGAAAGTAGCGCCCAGCACTCAACGCGTCAGAGGATAACTTGCAAGCCAGACAACAATTTCCAAAAATTTGAGGTTTTGGCTGTAAATTTCTTTAAATAAATGACATCAGAATTACGTTTATTTGTTGCGTGAAAAGATATGCTTTCCATTCCCTCTTTATAAAGAGCTGATCCATCCAGTCTTGTTTCCCCAAACTGGTCAAACCAGTGGGGAGAGTCCCTGCTCCTTTCTGGAGCATCTCCAAGCAGGGGGGCAGGAAGGAAATGCCAGTG